GCTCACTGCAACCTCCACCTCCTGGGTTAAATCGGTTCTCCTGCCTCAGCCTCCTGACTAGCTGGGATTACAGGTGACCACCACCACGCCTAGCTAATTATTTTGTATTTTTAGTAGAGACAGGGCTTCATCATGTTGGTCAGGCTGATCTCGAACTCCTAACCTCAGCTGATCCACCTGCCTTGGCCTCCCAAAGTGCTGGGATTACAGGCGTGAGCCACCACGCCTGGCCTCATTTCATGACTCTTAAACATTTGTGTTTTGTGTCATTATTTGTTTAATACGTTTCCTTAAAGGGCCTCTTTTTAAAATCGATGATTTTTAGTATAGACAGACTTATGCAAGACTTGTTGCAAAATTCTGCAAGATAACTGGTCTCAAAACCCATTACAATTAATATTAGAACATTTTCATCACTCCTTCAGAAAACCCCATATCCACAATCAGTGTTTTAACTTATATATGTGGATTATAAAAGAGCCCTTGATACCACTACCATAAACAGAAATTCAGGATCGCTTGCCATAAATGGAAGATACACATAAAAGTAAACCCAATGGGAACAAAACAGTCTTGTGGAATTCTGGCTCTATACCATTGTCCACTGTACGCTGGGCTTGCTGTCTCGGTAAAAAGAAGAACAAGTGTTAGGTGTTAAAGATACAGCTGTCCCAAACCAAGACTTTCTCCTTAAAGAAATCTAAGAGATTGAAAAAGAAGTAATTCCTAAGAGGTTTCCCCTCAGCGTCTCACAGTTTGGGGAGCTGTGGGTGGGGGACCCCGCAAGAGCCGAGGCAAGGGTCTGAAGCCTCAGCCTGTTCCCATATAAATACAGAACTAGAAAAGAATGAGAGATATAGTTACATAGTTCTTCTTACACATAATCATAAATAATCACATAGGTATTCATATGTAATCACAGATATATATATAATAAAATCTTTAATTTTACTAATAAGTCTCAGGTCATGAAGTATGAGACTGAAGTGGCATTGGGGAAGAGGTGACCCTAAGGCAAGATGCTCTAAGTCACCTGTCACTCCCGCATAAGGACTGCTGGAGGACGCCTTGGCTGTGTGACAGTGTCAGCGCTGTGAAAGCGCCTGCTGTTTAGCCAGCTAGGGAAGGAAATGTCCAAGATGGCTGAGACGTCTCCTTCCTCTGGGGAGTGAGGAGAAAACTCCACTCTTCCAAGTGGAGTAAGCCTGACGGCTGTCAGGGACACCCACAGACATCCGGGGACTTAATTGTCTCTATGCGGTGCTGTGCTTCAGCGGTCACGTTCCATGTCTACTTTCAAGTTCTGCTTCTGCACCTGGTTGCTCTTTTTCTTAGAAGGTAAGAATTAGTAATAGTAACATAAATCTTAGTGACCTTGTTCTTTCTTGACAAGGATGAGAAAAGTGCTGACGCCTTAGGTTTTCTCCTTGCCTTGGCTTCTTCAAAGTCTTGGGCCCCTGTCTCCAAGGCATGTGATTTACTTGACCCTATCACTGGCCACCATTACCTCATCCTACCTACCATGCCCCCTGCTTTGTACTCAATAAAAGTCAGGGCATCTAGACGCTCGGGCCACTGCTGGTCTCTGTGATTTGGTAGCAGTGGACCCCTGGGCCCAAACTCTGTTTTCTCGTCTCTGTGTCTTGTGTCTTTTATTTCCACAGTTTCTCATCTCCACACCTGCAGAGAGGGACTCATGGGACCCTGCAGGGCTGGACCCTACAGGGAGCACCAAGGTGGGGTTTTCATCTCCATAGTCTCTTCTGAGCCTCACTATAACTCTGTGAGGGAGGGATTATCATTCCCATTTTACAGATGAGAAAACTGAGGCTTGGGGGAGTCAGCTGTTTTACCAGCATTCTGCAGTAAGTGGTTGAGGAAGTTCTTAGTCCCAGGTGCTCTTTTTACTCCCTGAGAGCTGCTGCCCCCTACTCCTGTCCTAGCCAGGGTACAAACAGCCTATCCCTCCCCAGGCTTAGGGATACTGTGGCAGTTTTCACTAGGGAATGAAAGGATCTGTCTATGGGGACCCAAGGTCCTGAGCCTTCTGGTTTATTTGCCTCAAGGCCATTGAACTGACATCTCTAAGCTACAGTATCCTGAGGCCAGATGTTGGCCATAACAGTGTCCTTTTGTCTCATGGTAGAAACCTCCAGTGCTAGAGCTGGCCAGGAACAATACCATCATCGGGTCCAGCGTCCCCTAAACTTTATCCAGACTCATGAAGTCCCTGTACATTGTGAGGGGCTTCATAATTGTGTGACTCCTCCAGAAACATTTCCAATGACTCTGCATTTTGCATGGCCTAGGCGAAAAAAAGATGCTAAGTAAAAATAAAAAAAAATTGAGTTTAAGTCATTGTTTTTAATACAGTACCATAAAGCTAGGGTTTAATACATGTGAAAGTTTTCTATAGTCTATGTTCAGGTATTACAGTAAGACATATGTCCACATTTTCCTATTTGACAAGTGATGCGATCTAGTTCATTTTCTGCAAAGAAACTTTGTAGGAGAAGGAAGAAATAAGAAATGATGCTAGCGGTGGAGAGACCATGACAGTTCCTCGGGTCCAGCTGCTAATCGAAGCATGAGCTGGCCCCTGGTACCCTGTCAGGGGGAGGGGGTTCAGGGTGAAGGCCACAGTACCACCTCTGGAGTATTCTCCCCAATTATGCTTACCCTGCATGGAACCAAGCTTTGAGGGTCTTCTAGGTGTGACTGGCAGGCTACAGGAAAGAGGGAGGGTAGAGGAGCAGGGGAAAGACACCAAGAAGAAACCATCAATGTTCTGCAAGACAACTGGTCTCAAAAGTCTATGTCACCAGAAAGGTGAGAGGGCTTTTCTAGATGAAAAGAAAATAAAGTGATGGAACAATCAAATCTACTGTGGGAAACATGGCTAGATCCAGGTTAAAAAAATCACGATAAAGACATTTTTGGATCAGTGGGGGGACATTTGAATATGGACAGGGTATTAGGATTATAGAATTATTCTTAATTTTCCTAGTGTGATAATAGTATTATGATTGCATAGGAGCATGTACTTATTCTTAGGACATAGTGCAGGTAGAAGAATTTAGAGAGGGAAGGTCATGATGTCTGCAACTTTCAGACAGTTCAACGAAAAAGTATATATACAAATGTATATGTATATCTATGCATACCATATACCTGCTAAATATACACACATACATACATATGTAAAGAGACAGATACATGTGGAGAAGGAGGGGAAGCAAATATGCAAAATGTTAACACTCTAATCTCAGTGGAGCTATAAGAGTGTCAATTGTACTATTAACTTTTCTGTATGCTTGAATGTTTTCATAATGAGTAAAAAAATGGTATTAGACTTAGTTTAGAGCTGAATCCATTTCAAAATCAGCTGTGTGGCGGCTCACACTTGTAATTTCAGCACTTTGGGAGGCCGAGGCAAGAGGATTGCTTGAGACCAGGAGTTTGAGGGACCAACCTCGGCAATGTGTCGAGAGCTCTGCAAAAAGTAAAAAAAATTAGCTGGCTGTGGTGACGCAGACCTGTAGTCCCAGCTACGCAGGAGGCTGAGACGGGAGGATTGCTTGGGCCCAGTTCAAGCCGGCAGCGGCATATGACTGTGCCTCTGCACTCCAGCCTGGGTGACAGAGCAAAACCCTGTCTCAAAAAATTGAAAAAAAATAAAAAATAAAAAAAAGACTAAAATTTAACCACAGCACTAACTATAGCCAGAGATTGCTGTCTGTTTCTAGCCTGGTGTTAGAAGTTCTGCATACCGTGTAGAAAACACCAGTCATCCTAGAGGTCTCGGTATTGGTGAGCCTCAGGGACTGGGCTGTGGCCATGCTCCCCTGGGACCTACTAATTCTGCCCCAGCTTCCACCAGCCGGGCTTCCACCACGCACCTGCGGAGGCAGTGCTCTTTCAAAGGGAATATTGGCAAGTCTTCCATTTACTGACTTAAAAAAAAATATAAGTCTAGGCTGGGCACGGCGGCTCACGCCTGTAATCTCAGCTACTCGGGATAGGTAGGCAGGCCAAGGTGGACAGATCACGAGGTCAGGAGTTTGAAACCAGCCTGACCAATATGGTGAAACCCCGTCTCTACTAAAAATACAAAAATTAGCTGGGCGTGGTGGCAGGTGCCTGTAGTCCCAGCTACTTGGGAGGCTGAGGCAGGAGAATTGCTTGAACCTGGGAGGCAGAGGCTGCCGTGAGCTGAGATCGCACTACTCCAGCCTGGGCAACAGAGAGAGACTCTGACTCAAAAAAAAGTCGAACCAGAAGCCATTTCTTCCTTTATCAATGCAAACCACCAGTCTAGCACAACTGCCTGTTTTACAAACGGAGAAACTGGGACCTAGTGAGGGGAGGGGACTGAGTAAGAGCCGCACAATAAGTGACTGGCAGAGCTAACGTTGGCACCCAGGTCTTCAGACATCCAAGCTAAGGTTTTCTCCATCACTCCCTTTCATCTTTTGAAAGATTGGGTTTGTCCTAAACCTTTGCATGACTCTCTCTGCCACTCTCTCAGAGCCTAATGACTCACACTTTACAATCTATTTTAAAGCCAGCTGGAATCTATAGAAGAATAGAGACAGCAAGTGAAGAGAAGAGGTGCTATGGCCGAGCTAGTGATCACAGCCAGAAAGGCCGAGAAGGAGCTGGAAAAGCAGGAGAATTCAATGAACCTCAAACCCCAGGGACATTCTGTGCAAGGGCAAATGATACTGGCAGCATCCCTCCACACAGGGATTTTATAAGACAGTGGAGCGCAGACTACGATCTCAGACAGCTTAAAAACCTGGGCTGGGAGCGGTGGCTCATGCCTGTAGTCCCAACACTTTGGGAGACTGAGGCGGGTGGACCACCTGAAGTCAGGAGTTTGAGACCAGCCTGACCAATATGGTGAAACCCCGTCTCTACTAAAAATATAAAAATTAGCCGGGTGTGATGGCGCCTGTAGTCTCAGGTAGTCGGGAGGCTGAGACAGGATAATTGCTTGAACCTGGGAGGCAGAGGTTGCAGTGAGCCCAGGTCGCGCCATTGCACTCCAGCCGGGGCAATAGAGCAAGACCCTGTCTCAAAAAAACAAAATGAAACAACCCGGGCTACCACATGTGTCGAGCGCTCAACTGTGTAAGAAATGGCTTATCCAAGAGGACAGGGTTCCCAGGAGCTGTGAGGGCTGACTTTGCTGTGTAGACCATCAAGCTAGCCTTTTGTGTGTTCAAATCTCATCTTCCCAGTGAAAGCGCAACTTCGGGAGAGCAGGGCATGTGTCCTAACCATGTTTGAGCATCGTCAGGCGGTGGCTCTTCAATTTGCAGTCTGGATCCAGGTCTGAGCTCCGTCATTGAATATCCATGTGCCTTGGGCAACTTGATTAACTTCTCCGAGCCTGCATGAAATGGAGATAGTAACAGCAGTTAGGTCACAGATTGATTGAAGGGAGGATTAAGTGACACTGAGATTAAATGACATTTATTTGGGTCGGAGTCAATGGCCCAGGAAAGCTTCAAAGAGTGAGCTCTGCGAATACCTAGTGGAAGAGAGCCCAGGTGGAGGGAGGGCAAGGCGATGACTCAGAGGCAGGGCTATCCCTGGGGGCGTCTGTGGAACCTCAAGGAAGCCGTGGTGGCTGGGGAAGAGCTAGCAGGAGGAAGGGAAGCAGTGGGTGAGGCCACAGGTTGGAGGGCGGAGTTGCGTTTTATTGCACGTGTTTGTTATTTTTGGGGTTCGCTTCTATTTATGGAAAGATACTGATTTCCCATGTCTTGCTGCTACAAAGTACCCCTTTAAAATAATATAGAAAAAGGAATCAGTGTGGAAGCAGAAAACACTGCAGCCCACAAACAAGCACAAATCATGAACACTATCCTTAGATGACTGAAATTTGCAAAATGAGGAAGGCAGGTCCCTCTCTCTTACATTATTTACTTAGCACAAGTAGGTTTGGAATTTCAACGCTGAAGTTTCACTGGCAACCTCGATGTCACAACTAGAACCTTGAATTCTACTCTTGATCTCAGAGCTTTCCAGCTGGGAGACTCCTGGATCATGTCATCCTCCCACTCCCGCTTTACAGATGGAGAAACTGAGGCCAAGGGAGGCAAACAGATTCATTCAGGGGGTCTGGTTCAGAGGGAAGAACTGTACACAGTTTCTATGGGACTCAACTCCCCAGCTGCCCCCCGCCAAATCCAAGGATTCAGACACACAGGCTCCCCCAGAGACCTTTTAGTAGGTCGAGGCAAGGGAAGCCTCTGGCTGTGTCACTCTGGAGACTTTCCCTCCGTGCTCCCCTTTATATCCTCCTGTGCACCCACCATGGATCAGAGAAGGCAGGCAAGGGAGGGCAGAAGGCATGGGGTCACCTGGGGGCTGCTGGCCCAGGAGTTTGCTCTGGAGGGTGGTGGGTCCTGGTTGCATCCAGGTTCAGCCAAGGCAGCTCCGGTCAACCAAGTCAGGTGTTGAGATGTTCCCAGGGGGCCCTGGGAGTTCCTCTAGTGCCTGAGGGGACAGGACCATCGTTGCCTCAGCCACCACTCCCAGGCCAGGCAGCTCTGGGTGCAGCACTGTCAGCCCCTTTCCGGTCACAGCTTCTACAGGAACTGGTTCCTATCCATGCCAGGGAGAAGGGGCCACAGTGGGTTCTGAAGGGGCCACCTCATTACCTCTGATGTTGCTTGTGTTGGGCGGGCGTGACCTTGAACCACAGTCTGGTAGGATGGTGGGGGCCCCACCGGCAGGCCTTTGAGATGCAGTGGTGGGTTCGGAACAAGGCATGCGTCATCATCGTTCTGCAAAAGAAAGCCCACCGCCCCTGCTGCTCACATCTGTGGAGCAACTGGCTGTTTCCGAAGCACTTCCCTACTAGTTCACTTCTGAAGACCCAAGTTCTCCGTGACTATGGGGAAACTGAGGTGAGGCTTGAGAAATGAAGTGATTTCCATAGACCAGTGTGTGACTCCCTCCACCCTCCCTGTTCTTGGAAAGAGACTAGGGGGAGGTCCACGTGGGACTCAGTAGATGGGGTCCTGGTTCCCATCCTGCTACCAGTGTCCTGGTGACCATGGGCAAGTCACTCATCCTGTTGGGTTTCCTGGGGGGTGGGTTTGGGCCAGGTAATGCCCCAAGACTCTTCTAGCCAGGATTGGCACTGTTGGCATTAGACCTGCACCTTCAAGACACTCTAGGGGCAGGTCTAATGCCAACAGTGTCCCCCGGTGATTGCTACCACACCTCCATTCCTGATTATGATGAGGGTAGCACCAACTCAGTGCTGCAGAGCCCGTCCCTGGCATTGTCCTTTCTGATGGGAGGGCACAGGGCCCACTGGGAGACCTAGCACAGCCGCTTACTGGCTGTGAGACCGTGGGGAGTCACTTAACTCTTCTAGGCCCCGTTTTTTCCTCTTTAAATGGAAAAGCAGAACCTGCCTCCCAGAATGGCTGTGAGATTCAAAGAGGTCTCAGCTAGTGCACTAGGCAGAAGCCCGGCCCCCAAAAGACTTCCATGTGCTAATCTCTGGTCACATGGCAGAGAGGAATAAAGGTTGAAGATGGAATTAAGATTTCCAATCAGCCTTGAGATGGGGAGATTCTCCTGTATTATCTGTCTGGGCCCAGTATGATGAGAAGGCTCTTTAAAGGTAGAAGAGGGATACTGGGCTATTGGAAGATGTTGTGATGCTGGCTTTGAAGGTGGAAGAAGGGGCTACAAGCCAAGGAATGCAGGCAGCCTCTAGAAGCTGGGAAAGGCAAGGAAAGAGATGCTCTTCAATACCCTCTGAAGGGATGCCGCCCTGGCAACACAGCTTGATTTGAGTCCTTGAGACTCACTTCAAACTGCCAACCTCCAGAACTATAGAATAATATAGGTGTCATTTTAAGCCACCAAATTTGTGATAATTTATTACAATAGCAATAGAAAATGAATTCAGCCACTTGCAGCACTAACACAGTGCCTGGAACACAGCAAAGGTCAATAAATAGGGTGGGCAACCCCCCATATAGGCTCCGAGGAAGGAGAGCTAAGCAGAATCCTGGCACAATTAAGATATGAAGAATATCTCAGTTTATAGTATTACTACTCAGTTATTTCCTTTTATATAATCCTCTCTATATAATCATATATTAGTTCCTAGAATGAGTGCCTAAAGAATATATTACCACTCAGTTATTTCCATATATATAACTATATCTTAGTTCATAATAGGAGGAATGCCTGGAGTAGACATGGTACAGAGCATGAATTAAGGAAAAGCAGCTTATAGTCAGAGGAATGTCTGGAGCAGACACAGTGCAGAGCATGGTTAAGGGAAAAACAGCTATACCAGGACAAGAATCCATAGCCCAGGCGGCAGCGTTTAGTGTCTTAAAGATAGCCGCTGTATGACAGGCTCGGGGCAAGAGCGCTTCTCTTGATAAAGGAGTTGTAGGACCTTGCTCCAGTTCTTGCAGAGGGCTGCCTTCAGACTGGCAGTCCCGAGCATCTGAGGGCTCATAACCCCTCCGGATAATCGCACCTTGGTGACTGTGAACTTTATCAGCTCTAGTTACTGTGCTGCTTGAAAAGCATCTTCCTATAGAACTCTTTGGAAGCTGCCAGCAGGTGGCGGAGACCCTGACAGCTCTGCCACTGCTGTGTGACTTAAAGCATCCTCCTGTAAATCTTCTTAGTAGCTTGCCCATAGATAGAGGTATTGCACACTGCACCCTCTTCACTGCACACCGCCCACCTCCATGCCTCGGTGACCTAATGGGGGTGGCCCCTTACTGCACACGGCCCTTGCCTCAATGACCTAATGGGAATGGACTCCGTGCTGCGCAGTGTCCACCTCCCAGCCTAGGTGACCTAACAGGGGTGGACCCCTTGTTTTATTGCTCATGACCCTATCACTATCCTTAAAGATGACTTCACTCACTGCCCTGCCCCCAACCTATACACAATAAATACTGACGCTTCTGGACATTTGGGGCCTTGCCTGACTCCGCTTATAGGTTGCGTGGCCCCCCGAGCCCAGCTGCATTTTCCTTGTACTTCTGTGTCCTGTCTCTTTATTTCTCAGATCCTGCACCTCAGCACAGCATAAGGGACACCCCACGACCCTGTGGGGCCCTCAGCCCTACAAAATAGGAACAATGATTGCTCATACCTGAAGCTAGGTATGGGGCCTCAGTTTCCCCCATCCTTAAAAGTGGGGTTGGCCTCAGTGACTCAAGGCCCCCATCTGGTTCTCTGATGTCTTAATGAGAAGACTTCCTACCAGGCAGCCAGGCATGAACTAAGACAACTTCTCTGCCTGATGTTCAATGAAACTCAGAGGCTATCAACTTACATACGCATTAAGTGAACTCTCGGTGTGTGATGAAGTCACTAACATGAAAATTGGTGCCAAACTTGCAGAATTATGGGGGATTTGGCACCGTTTTTTTTTGAGACGGAGTTTGACTCTTGTTGCCCAGGCTGGAGTGTAATTGTGCAACCTCAGCTCACCAAGCCTCTGCCCCCAGATTCAAGAGATTCTCCTGCCTCAGGCTCCCAAGTAGCTGGGATTACAGGCATGCACCACCACACCCAGCTAATTTTGTATTTTGAGTAGAAACAGGGTTTCTCTATGTTAGTCAAGCTGGTCTTGAACTCCGGACCTCAGGCAATCCGCCTGCCTCTGACTCTCAAAGTGCTGGGATTAGAGGCATGAGCCACTGTGCCCACTGACACATTTTTTTTTTTACAGTGTTCTAAAGTTGAAATTGTAATATGAATTTTTTTTTCTTTAAAGAAATGAGCCTTGGAAATCATTTCTGGTCCGGTTCTTTATTTTTTATTCATTAATTTTTAAAATAAAACATCCTTATCCTGAACTGCTCAGGATCTTCATGGTAGGGAGAGACTTGCCCTTCTATTTTAAAATATATCTAGCCCAGTTTGCCGTTCTGCCAACCCCACAGGTAGACAAGGGCGAGGCTGTGGGTTAGATGTAGCTCAGGCTGAGTTCTGGATCGTCTTACTGGCTGCATTGCCTTAGGAAGTGATGTGACCTCTCGGAACCTCAGCTTACTAGTCTGTAGTATGGGAATTTAAGTACCTCAGTGGGTTTTTGAGGGCTGGGCCCGGTGGCTCATGCCTGTAATCCCAGCATTTTGGGAGGCCAAGGCCGGCAGATCACTTGAGGTCAAGAGTTTGAGATCAGCCTGACCAACAGGGCAAAACCTCGTCTCTACTTAAAAAAATACAAAAATTAGCCAGGCGTGGTGGCACGTGCCTGTAGTCCCAGTTACTTGGGAGGCTGAGGTGGGAGAATTGCTTGAACTAAGGAGGTGGAGATTGCAGTGAGCAGAGATCATGCCACTGTACTCTAGCCTGGGTGACAGAGTGAGACTCAGTCTTAAAAAAAGGATTGTTGAGAAGATAAAGTTATATTTATCTATATATCTGTGTATCTATATCCATCCATCCATCATCTATCCATCCATCCATCCAACCATCCATCCATCCACCCATCCATCCATCCACCCATTCCGTCCATCCACCCATTCCATCCATCCACCCACCCATCCACCCGCCCATCCATCCATCCATCCACCCATCTGTCCATCCACCCATTCTGTCCATCCATCCACCCATCCATCCACCCATCCATACACCCATTCCATCCATCCACCACCCATCCATCCACCCATCCATCCACCCATTCCATCCATCTACCCACCCATCCATCCACCCATCCATCCACCCGTTCCATCCATCCACCCACCCATCCATCCACCCATCCATCCACCCATTCCATCCATCCATCCACCCATTCCGTCCATCCACCCACACATCCATCCACCCACACATCCATCCATCCACCCATCCATCCACCCATTCCATCCATCCACCACCCATCCATCCACCCATCCATCCATCCATCCATTCGTCCATCCACCTACCCATCCATCCACCCATCCATCCATCCAGCCATCGATGGATTCATTGATATAGTACTCAACAGAGTCCCTGGAATGCCTGAAATGCCCAATCTTTGATGACTCCGTCTCTCACTTGTTTCTACCACAGCCAAACTCCACACACATTGCAGCTTCCCCAGGCCTTCTCTATCCTGTCTCCAAGCCAGTGCTCATGCTGTTGCTCTGCTGAAAGTCCCCCTTCCATCTGTGCCTGTGGGGCCGAATCCTGCCCAGTCATCACGGCCTCCTTGATGCAATTTCCCCGGGGCATTCAGAGCTGGCAGCACAGTTGCCTGTTGTTCTGGGCACCATGGAGTTTCCCCTCTGGCAGCCTCACCCTTTTCTCCTTGGATTGGCCTCCTCTCTCGCCCCATGCCTTGGCCCCCCTCCTGGACTGTGGGCTGCCACTTAGTGAATCCTCAGCAACATGAGGAGTGAAGGAAACACGCTCCTCTTGTAACCCCTACATGTCTTTCCTTTCTGGGCCCTCTGCTGCCTCATGCCCCCATTTTTTGAGGGCTTGTCTTCCCAGGAAGGGCCTTACCTTTGCAGACGGGCGGTCCGCTTTCCAGGCTGTGACAGCCGTGGGCACTGGCAGGAAGAGCTCTAGGACAGTGAAGCAGAGCAATGCCAGCTCTAGCCTCTGGATGTGGACCTGAGAGGGGAGAGGGAGGGAAGGCAGGGTGAGGCCTCGCTGGGCGTCTGCACCTGGTATGTGGGCTTAGCCAGCTAGGGATCAGATCCACATCGAGGGCAGTGGGCGCTTCTGCTCCCAGGTGTGTGTGGAGAGGGCAGGGTGGATCTCTGTGTGATGGGGACTGGGCCTTTCTTGGTCACTGCTCTACATGCATCCCCTGGCACGTATACACGTTTGGTGAGTGTTGGCCCAACGTTTGAGGGCTGGAGAATCTCACGGGTCCCTGGGAAGACTGAAGGTAGCCTTAGGGTCATCTGATCCAAGCCTACTTGACAGATGGGGATACCTAGTCCCAGAGTGAGGAAGTATGTTTTACACTAGGTGGGGGAAGAGCTATGAGATGGTGGCTGTGCAGCTGGGAGACATCTTATAGTACCACATGCATTTGGTGGGGAACCATATGTATGTGTGAGCACATGTGTGTGGAGTGCTTGTGTATGTGTGTGTGTGTATGAGCTGGGAGGAGACAAGGAATAGCAAACTACTATGGTCAGAACAGTTGCAGGTGCGGTGGCTCACACCTGTAATGCTAGCACTTTGGAAGGCCGAGGTGGGCAGATCACAAGGTCAGGAGTTTGAGACCAGCCTGGCCAACATGGTGAAACCCTGTCTCTACTAAAAATACAAAAATTAGGGTGTGATGGCAGGTGCCTGTAATCCCAGCTACTTGGGGGGCTTAGGCAGGAGAATTGCTTGAATCTGGGAGGTGGAGGTTACAGTGAGCCCCGATCATGCCACTACACTCCAGCCTGGGTGACAAGAATGAGACTCTATCTCAAAAAAAAAAAAAAAGAATTCTTGGAGGCTGGCCCAGAGGCACCCAGCCTGGAGTGGCTGGTCTGCCTTCTGCTTCAGAGGCAGCGGTGGTGTGGTGAAAAGAGCACCAGGCTTGGAGTCAAGGACCCACTGATGTAGCCTGCCTGGACCTCAGTGTTCACTCCCAGAAGATGAGGATAGCAAGGTGGACTTGGCCAGGTTTGCGAGGCTCCCGGATCACACCCCTGTGTGATCACACCCCAGGGACTCATGCTTTGAGCCCTGGCTGGGAAATCTGCAGTTGTAGGCTATGGTCCTGGATTTGCAGCCGCGTTGCTGCTTGATCGCAGGCAGGCTCCTCCCTGTCTCTGGCCCCATTTCCCCATCTGTAAAAGTGGACTTGGACTCCATGATGCTGACCAGTGGGCAGCCTGGCATGCCCCCTTTCCACCACACCTTCGGAGGGATAGGAACAGTTTGGCCAAAGGCTGAGCAGCCACACCTGGGCTCCAGGAGAGGTTTTCTGTGAGCTGGAAACCTCCTGTTGGCTAAGCCTGAGGCAGCAGCTTCATCGAAGTCAGAGGTCCCTCTGGGCTTGAGCACTCACCGTGGAATTGGGGTACATTCTCCAGATGGGGGACTCAAATGGGCTTTCCAGAAAGAGATCCTTGGCAATGACAAAGAGGCCAGACAGCACACAAAGGAGGCTTATGAGGTTTGTCATCAGGCACAACACCTTCTGCAGGTGAAAAATAAAGGTAACGGCTGTTCAAAGGGTGGAGATCTGGGGCTAGGTCATTCCCCGATGCTTGCAGGAGCTTCCTCTGTAGCCTCAGGAGACACTACCTGTCACTGGACCCAAGGCCCCCACCCCCACACAGGAGCTGAGCCACTGACCGCTGAGGAGGGCCCAGCTGGCCCTCACCTTCTATGGTACAAATTAGGAGAACCCAAGAGCTGCCTTCAGATCCAAGAGCTTTGCAATAAAGATGCCCCACTGCCATCTCCCCCTCAAACCCAGCCCTGACCATCCCACATCAGATATGCCAAGTGTCAGGGACTTGACACCCAAATGACCCCTCATCCAGCCCTTTCCCCACCAGAAAGGGCAGGAGGAGCTCTGAAAGTGCCCTATCCCCACACATTCCAGTGCCAGCCCCATTTTCTCCGCCCACCTGCCATGGTCACTGAAATGCCTGTGTTCATCGTCCTCTCTGGTTAAGCATCATTGCAAGAGCCCCTTGCCAAGTGCAAATCCACGTAGTGAGGAAACTATGCATATGTGGAATATGCAGCCTGCTCCTTAGGATCGCCTCTACACATAGATGCTTTTAACAAAGTTACCCCGTGCTCGGATGGAAGAGAATGACCTCAGTGCACCCACTCACCAGGTAAGCTTTAGAAAAGGTCTCCATTATTATCGCCAAGATCCCTGAAATGAGAAACTGCAGGCCAGATTTGAATGTCAAAGGAGAGAAGTTGAGGTTCCTTGAAACTCACAAATTCCCACCCCACCCCTATTCTCCAAGAAAACCAACACTTGGCGGCCAGTGGGGCAGAGAATGCTATTCCTCCAGCAAAGTGGGCTCCTCTTGCCTGCCATGTGGCCCATCCCAGGCGCCACCCCACCTCACAGCTTCCCACGTGCACAAACCTCCATGCTTCCTCCCATCTCTACCCTTGGACCAAGCTGTGCCCTGCACTTAGAACTCCCTCCTAGCCCCTCCTGCTTCCCTCATTTTACAAACCCAGACCATCCCTCTGGTATCAGTGGCACTATTTCCTCTACCCTGACCCTTTCTCTTTTCCTGAGCCCTGCAGTTGGGAGGACATGAGCTCTTTTGCCCAAGGTCCCTGGGAATACCTCTGCAATCGTTCTTTCCAATGTTCACTGAGCACTTACTATTGTTGTATTTGACCGAATGTAGAAAGTTATCACAAGACAAAAGTATGCCAGATTGTAGGGTCATTTATTATGCCGGCGACCACAGAGGACTCACGTCTCTCCAACCTGTGGTGGCAACAGGAGGGTGCCACGATTTTTTATACCCGAAAAACCACCTTGGGAGTGGGGGTGAGGGGCAGGGATGGTGATGAAAAGGCTTCAGACATTCCGAGGGCTAGTGGATTCTGTAAATTACCTCCTGGGCAGAGATGAGGGTGGGGGTCCCCGGACATTCCAAGGGATGGGGACTTTTGTCATTCCGTTTGTTACTTAAGTGGTTTACAGAAGTCAAGATAAACATTTGTTTACACATTATCTGGTTAAGGTGGAAATCACAGACCTTAGTTACTTATTACAAGCCACAGGAGCCAAGATGGCATGGGTTAGGACTGCTTGCCTGTCATATTAGGGCCACAGAGAGCAGTTACTGATAAGAAAAGGTAAGCAGCTTTATATAGTTTTGAAGAGCAAACAGCAGTTCTATTTACAGAGGCCAAGGACAGTAGTTATTGTAAGGAGAATGGGGCAGCCATTTCAACTTATCTAAAAACAGTTTTGCATTTTATAAAATAGTTTTGCTCCGGTTCTGGCTCTAGGCCAGCACAATATCACACTATGGACTAGTCCCCGGAAGCACAGGGTGAATAAACATTGCATGGTGGAAAGTTCTATCACTGTGTAATAAAAGCCCGACCCCGTGGGGGGTGGGCACAGAGGACCGATGTAAAAAGGGGATTGGGATACTTGCCCGGGACAGTGCCGTGGAGCTTGGATTTAGTGCATAGGCAGGACTCCACTGGGGAGTCAGGAATGGGGTGGGCTCCCTGAAGGCCAGAAGGGATGCAGAGCTTCTGGGAATGGTGCATATACTGGTCCAGTGTCATCGCCCATCCTGGCTGGTGGCCTTGGGAGGACGGGAACCATGCCTTCAGCCCTGGGTGTTTTCATAGCCTAACCCTAGCAGGGCACCTGCTGCTGGATCCAGAGGCAGCCTGGCTGCTCCGAAGGCCAGGGAAGAAGGAAGCTGTCCCTGGGTCATGCTCACCCCCATCTTTGCCAAATGCACACCTGCAATTATGGGAGAGTAGATAGTCTGCAAGTGCTCTCCTGGGACTTAGAATTGACAGGGGCTCCCTGGAAGGAGCTATTTCCAGGGTGGCTACAAGAAGAGAAGGAGAGATGGGAACACTGGAGAGCGGGCCTGGCTTCCGCCACATGCTGTTAGCTCTCTCTACCCCAGCCTGCGTCCCGTCCCAAACGCCAGGGCCTCCCAGGCCTGCCCTGCAGACTCCCATACCCGGTCTGTGTTTTGCCTTCTACTCACAGAGGCAGCCCCCCAGAATGGATACCAAGACTTCAGCACCACCAGGTGAAGGCTCTTGACTGTAGAGGCCAGGTAGCCCCCAAAGGCCACGTGCAGCAGAGCAATGGCGATGTGGAAGGCCTGGGTGGGGAACAGAGAGTGGCTGGGTGAGGGGATCGGTGACTGGCTCTAGAGGAGGCCACAGGTGCCCTGGACCTACGGGCTGCGCTGACTCCCTCCGTCCTCTTAGGGATCCCGGAGGGAGAGCAGGATCTCTAGGAAGAGACCGCTCCCCAGGATTTCCTGCAGGGAGAGCTAAGGCTGCCCCAGGAGTAGGAGCTGTCTATGCTGGAGCCGGCAGCCCTTTCCTGCCATTCTCCCCAGGACAGGGCCCTGAACGACCCTCACAAGGCAGTAGGTGTGGGCAGATTCTCTCCAATGCTCAAAGCCTTTTCCAGTTCAGATGAATGTTAAGCAAGAAAGCTGCAGTCTTTCTCATTTCCCTTTCTCCACTTAGGGCCCCCAGCATCCTCCTGATATCTCGCTTTCCTCTTCCTCCCATTGCCGGGACCCTGGGAAGTGGATGCTCACCCCCAGCTCCTTGAGAAGGCTGGTCCTCTGCTGGGATTCCTTGTGCTGGATCCTGTGCTGGGTCATGTTCTGGGATAGATTTGCCTGCCAGGGCTGGGCTGAGCTGAGGACTTGCCAGGACGAGAGGCCCCCAGCACCGGAGCTGGTGGCAACCGTGGCTTCTGCCTTCATCGATGCTGGTTGGGGGCCCTGGCTGCCGGATGGGGAGAAAGGCCATCAGAACCTGTCTCATTTCTGAGGCTTGTGCCTGGGTGAGCCTCTGCTGGTCACCTCTGCTCACAGGACTGGATCTTTCCAGAACCATGGCTGCCCTGACCAGCAGCCTTGATTTGACCTGGAATAATCCGGCCCCTGGGAATGGGGAGTAATTGCTGTCACAGCCTTTCTGGGATTACAAAGACACAGCTCCTTTTGGGGCAGAAAAATGTGGACCAGACACAGTTCACAACCAGTGCAAGACAGAGCTCACCCAACGGGCCAGAGTGCAGTTTGGCAGAGTTGGGAGGTGCAGGAGACCTGGGGCGGTGGAGGGGCCTTGTCAACAGTCTCCATCCACTGGTCCAAGATGAGTGACTGAAGCCAGGTGGGAAATAATTGTCCTACCTCCTGTCGTGATGCCCATGCTTCCTGGAGAGAAGGGAAGAAAACGTCTTCCAACGAGGACTTCTTATGAGCCACCACTGAGTCAGGAGTCTGCGTTTAACAACGCGGACATTTACAAATGCTTTCTCCGCTCCAGGCACTGAGATAAATATGCTACATGCATTACCTGTTTTGTCCTCATTCCAACTCTATGAGGTAAATACTCTCCTCACTCTCATTTTGCAGATGAGGCTCAGAAAGGTTAAGCCACCTGCCCATGGTCACACAGCCAATAGGTGACTTGGACTTGAAGGATGGCAGGCTGGCTCCAGAGCCTGGGGCTTAAATCCTTCATGCGCTGTTGGCTCAACAAATGGAAATGAATGTTCTGGATGTTCTCATGGGCACAAAAAGGAGTTGGGAAAAAATTTAGAAGGGAGCTGAACAGACAACCTGCAGACAGGGTCAGTATCATAGTGTATATGGATGCCGCGGAGGCACCAGGGCTTGGGGGCTGCCTGCGGACTTGGTGAGGAAATCCAGTGGAGCCTTTCTGTCCCAGAAAGTGGAGATCTGGGCGAGGAAGAAAGGGGCTGGCTTGTGGGGATTGAGGTCAGAGATGGTTTCACCATGGGGCTGGGGCTAATGAGCAAATCCTTGAGAGAGTGCAGGCTGCTCTCAGGCTGTCCTGGAAGGATGAAAAGGGAGGGGCATTCCTCTCACTTTTAAGTCTGACTTGTGGACCCAGACAGTTCTGTCTGAGCATCCACATTTTCCACAGGGGTGCAGGGATTTCTTTCCACGCAAGGAAAAAAACCTTGGGATGTTTGGAGGGTCAAATAGTCTGGGTGACTACGTCCTGGGCTGGGGGGGAAAGGAAGGGACATTATCAACAGCCAAAGAGCCAGATGGGGCCTCATGGTTGGGTGAGGACTGTGTGTCAGGCACTGTGCCAGGAGGCAGTTTTGCCTGGCAACCTCCCTTAATCCTCAGGAAGTCAGCACCATGGCGTAAAAGAGGAAACTAAGGTTCAGAGAGGTTGCTTCCCTTGGCCAAGGTCACACAGTGAGGAAGTGCCTGGAATTGGAACCATGCTGGTCTTACTCCATTGCCAGTGCTCTGGGCCTGGGCTGCTGGGTGGGACCTCCTGATCAATATCTCCATTGGCCTGCAGTGACAACCCCTGATTAAGTGGGGACAGTGGGCAGAGGGTCTCCCCCTTTCCTGAGCTCATAGACACTGTAATGCACGACTCTTCTGTGACTCTGCCCGGCTATGCTTGGGAATTCTCCCTCCCTCAGTCCCCAAGTCTTCAGGAGTCCTTCTGACACAGCTAGCTGGACTGAGGGGTGTATTTGGAGGCCTGAACCAGATTAGCCACTGGCTTCAATGAGGCTCTGCACACCTGCGAGGACAATACCTGGACCCAGGCCTGAACTCCACTGCAAAGAACTGAAGAGGGACTTCTTAGTAGAGCTGTCTCAGATGGAGCCGGTTGTCCACAGGGATAGCGAGTGCCTGGGCTCTGAAGCTGTATCTCTACCTACACATTCACTTATGAGAGCTGTGGCAGCAGGAATGGCTCAAATACCCAACAGGGAGTTGGATTCCAGAATCCAGAGAAACCCTTCTCAATGTACGTTCCATGAAACTGTGGTCCTGATGGATCCGCAGTAAAAGGGTTCCGCGGTCAAAGAAGCTGGGGAAGCCATGGATATCCTCTTCTTCCTTTTTCTCATATTAAAGGCTCTGAGATTTTCTACAAGTGGTGCACTCTGGTTTCGTATTAAGGGCATTTCTCAAACTTAATTGGCCATAGAGTCTTTTTTTCTCTGCAATTGGTATTCTATGGGGTCTGCTTTTGGGCAAAGCGACCTGGAAGGTTTCAGTGTCTGGTTCTGGGCTCTGGTTTTTGGCCTTTTCTCTGTGGCATGAGCTTTTGGTTTGCTCATGTCACAGTGGGAACGGAAATTGGATGACGCTCTCCAGGGTCCCTTCCAGCTTTAAATATAAAACTACTCTCACGGGATAGAGAGCTGCTGCAAGGAATTTTATACAACCAGGAGAGGAAGGGGTTGCAGAGGGCAGACCTCAGAGTTAGACTCCATGGGGAAAAGTCTGTTATGAAGTCTTGTCCGCCTTTCCGGCGCAAAGAGCATGAACTCTGATTCCTTAGAAGCTTATTCCCTGCTGTCCTGGTCCACCTCCAGGACCTGTGCAGGGCTGCTAGGATGTGATACCGTGCTCACAGAGGGGGGCAGGCAGCAGGCTGTTTGGGGCAAGGGAGGAACTTTTTTAGCCTTGCCCCCCCCCGAATCCCCTCAGCCAGCTCAGGACCACAGACCCAGCCAGCTTGGTATCCCACTGGAAACCCACTGTCCCCAGGGCCTTGGTGCTCTGCACAGAGCCACGTGATGCTTGGGTCCCATACGTATTCTCGTTGTTCCTTCAGTTCTGGGAGGGGAGGGAGGACAGGGACAGAGCTGGGAAGGACCCTCCAGAAGCCCCCCACAGAGCGGCAGAGTGGGCCAGGCTGTGAGCGCTGGAAGCTGTCAGCCAGAATGGGTGCCCCATGAAAAGTCCTGGCTCCGCTTCCCGGAGCTGTGACCTTGGGCAGGCTGTTTACATCTCAGCTTCTGAGTCTCCCTTCGCCTCCTCATGGGGAGCCACTGCCTGTCCCTGGGGGGTAGGTGATGAGGAGTAGCTGAAACTATGTCTGCAACAGACAGGGCCTGGCGTATAGCAATAATGGCAGCCACAGTCATCACCAGCCTGTTCATGTGTAGAATTCCACCAGCGAGGCTCCCCCTTGTCCTCGTCTGGTTCTTGGTGAAGACCTGATACATCCCGCCCCTATCATCTGGAGTGGCGAGTTTGTTCCCTCCATCTCCATCCTGCTTACCGGGGGAGAGTGCCGTGAGGGCTCTGGGCCCCTGGGGTGGGGGCAGGGGGTCGTGAAGGCAGAAAGGCACTGAGTGTATTGAGCTAGTGATCTGAGATCTGACACTGTCATTCGTGGATTTGTTCATGGAGTTCTGCATTGGACACTGCGGGGACCGAGACAGGAGGGAGTAAGATGTGCCTATGGGAGGTCTGTGTCCGAGCAGGCAGAGGAGACGTGGCACGAACAATGTGGCCCTCATCAGACGGTGCAGTGGAGCCCTGGAGGACAGAGAGAGCTTCTCAGGTGTGTGTGTGTGTGAATGCACACGTGTGTGTGTTCAGGCATATGTGAGGGTGCATATGAAGGACAGAAAGGCAAGAATTGAGAGGTGCTTAGTGACAGAGTGTCACATCACGTGACAGGCAGGCTGGTGTTGTGGCAGGGGTTCCCCAGAAGATCAGCGTTTCAGTGAATGCCAGTTAGAAAACAACCTGACTGTATTGAACTAGCCCCACCCGGCGCTTCCAGACAGAGAGTTTGGGGTAAAGACAGCTCACCCACAAGGAGCAGGAGCTGCAGGAAACAGAGGCGTCTATCCGAGGAGGGAGTCAAGAATCTGGATTCCAGTCCTGGCCTCTCGTGGCCCTTGACAAGCCCCTTCTCCTCGCTGGGTCTCTGTTTTCTCAAGCCAGTATCTTCGTGTGTATGCATTTCCAGACAGGAAGGGAAGTGGCTGGGGCTCCGCCAGCTCTCATGGTCAGTGACTGGCAGCAGGATGGGGGTCCCTGGGGGAGAGGCTGATGGTGCCCCCTACTTTCCAGATCCCCTCTACTGGGTGGGGCACCCATTCTCCAGCTGCTGTATTTGTTGTTTGCTAAAGGCTCACATCTGCTCCCTGCTGGGAGTTTAAGCTACACCGCCCCAACCCTACAGCCAACAACTGACCGGCTAGGGGTATAAAAGGCCGGCCCCCTGACTTCAAGGTGGGACCAGGTCTGTACTCCTGAGCAACTCCCCAACTCCACATGGAAACACAACATCACTCCCCTCTGTGCCCGCTGTGGGGGGACCACTCACCCCAGAACCTGGAACCGCAGCTCCGAGCTTCCAGATGTGCTTTGCCCTCTGGCGCCGCCTGAGTTCCCCAGAGACAGCGCTGGGAAATCAGCACATCTTTACAGCATTAGACTTTGGATCTTGTCCCTCCTGGACTCACCCCCTGCTTTGTGCCCCAGCTGCACAGAAGCTGTCAATATCTTTCTTACCCCGCCCACCACCAACCCTCGCAGGTGAAAATCTTAGTGGCCTTCTGTTTTTTGGAATCTTGCCCTGTTGCCCAGGCTGGAGTCCAGTGGCCTGATCTCGGCTTACTGCAACCTCTGCCTCCCAGGTTCAAGTGATTCTCCCGCCTCAGCCTCCCTAGTAGCTGGGACTACAGGTGTGTGCCGCCATGGCTGGCTAATTTTTGTATTTCTTTTCTTTTCTTTTTTTTTTTTAGTAGAGACAGGGTTTCACCATATTGACCAGTCTGGTCTTTAACTCCTGACCTCGTGATCCGCCCTCTTCAGCCTCCCAAAGTTCTTAGCGTCTTATTTATGTCTCTCCTTGACAGTTGCAAATTTCCTTTGGCAAGGGAAATGTTGATCATTTAGCCTGTTTTCAGAGCAGGACTGATGGAGTGAAGGTGGTTGTGATCTCCTTAGATTCTGGGAGTAGAGTAGGAAGTAGAATCTTTTGAAAGAATCCATTTAATTTAGGAAAATTTCAAGCACTCACAAAAGCAGAGAGAATGGCTCCATGACCCCCCCGTACCCATCCCCAAACTAGAACCACCATCAGCAGCTCCCAGCCAATCTTACTTTCCCCCAAAAGTAGCAAAACTCAGACATCTTTCCATTTTATTTATAAGCAGTTTCATATTTATCTCTAAAAGATATGGACTCTTTAAAAAAATTGTGACCACATGATCACAACAAAAAAATTAAAACTGAGTCCTGGTGCTCGCTGAGGTATATTTACGCTCAGGGTATAGCCCTGCTGCTCCACTGAGCTCTGCTGTATGTTTGGAAACTCCTCTTTTAAAGGGCCGGGCAGTGGCTCATGCCTGCAATCCCAGCTCTTCGGGAGACCAAAGCGAGAGGCTCACTTGAGCCCAGATTGCAAGACCAGCCTTGGCAACATAGCAAGTTGTCATCTCTACAAAAATTAAAAAATGAGCCAGCTGTCTTGGTGCACGTCTGTCCCAGCTACTCAGGAGGCTGAGGTGGGAGCATCACGTGAGTCCAGTGAGCTATGATCACACCACTGCACCTCCCTCTGGGCAACACAGTGCGATCCTGTCTCAAAAAAAAAGAAAAAGAAAAAAAGAAGCTACTTTTGTAGAGCAGT